AAAGCTCTTCTATAAGAAGACCTAAAGCTCCTCTATAAGAAGACCTAAAGCTCTTCTATATGAAGACCTAAAGCTCTTCTATATGAAGACCTAAAGCTCTTCTATATGAAGACCTAAAGCTCTTCTATAAGAAGACCTAAAGCTCTTCTATAAGAAGACCTAAAGCTCTTCTATTAAGAAGATCTAAAGCTCTTCTATTAAGAAGACCTAAAGCTCTTCTATTAAGAAGACCTAAAGCTCTTCTATTAAGAAGACCTAAAGCTCTTCTATTAAGAAGACCTAAAGCTCTTCTACAAGAAGACCTAAAGCTCTTCTATAAGAAGACCTAAAGCTCCTCTATAAGAAGACCTAAAGCTCTTCTATAAGAAGGCCAAAAGCTCTTCTATAAGGAGACCTAAAGCTCTTCTATAAGAAGGCCAAAAGCTATTCTATAAGAAGACCTAAAGCTCCTCTATAAGAAGACCTAAAGCTCTTCTAAAGAGAATATCTAAAGCTCTTCTATATGAAGACCTAAAGCTCTTCTATATGAAGACCTAAAGCTTTTCTATATGAAGACCTAAAGCTCTTCTATATGAAGACCTAAAGCTATATAAAACCTCTTCAGCACCTAAAGCTCTTCTATAAGAAGACCTACAGCTCTTCTATGAATTGTTACCATTGCTGAAAGATTATTAAAAACTTTTTCATAATCTCAAAGAGTGGTGGGGCGGCAGTAAAGCTAATGCATGTTTGTCGTTTTGAAAAATGAACGCATTTCCGTTTCCATCGCCTACAAAAACCAACAAAATCAACCAAACCAATGCCGTACCTAGGCAATTGACTTGCCATTCGGTGATCGCGCGGTAATACATTTGCGGGTTTTTGTGTTGACATTCCTTTTTGTAAATGGTCTACTTTAAATGAGAATTTATATGCCATTAGTTTTATAGATCTGGTGTGAAATTCTTTGTTTAGGTAGGAAGGTAGGATGAGTGTGTGTTCGACAGGGACATGAATACCAACAACATTTATCCGTTGTATGTGGATTCATTTTCGTTTTATCCATGGCGAGCCATAAAAAATGACCACCACCACGAGAAAATAATGCTGTTGAAGTTATCAGAAAACAGAGAAGAAGGAGGAGAGACCAAAAATAATAAAATTTCGTATTTAGGGATGTCGAGGTGGGGAATTTTATGGGGAAGAGCTTGGATTCTCATAGACACGCATTAGGTCTTCACAAAAAAGCATTTTAGATCTACACATAGATGAGTTATGCGTCATGTCACAGAAGAACTAGATCGTCAGATAGAATAGGTTTTGGTCATCCCAAAGAACACTTTTATATCTCCTCATAGAAGAGCTTTAGGTCTTCTCATAGAAGAGCTTTAGGAAGTGTCATAAAAGAACTTAAAGACCTATCATGGAAAAGCTTTATATTTTTTAATAAGATTGGCATTAGGTCTCATAGGAGAAATTTTGGTCGTCTCAAAGAGAAGTTTCGAAATTTTTTTATTATTTTTACAAATACTTTTTTTCAATGATTTTCCCAATATTTTCCGTTCTTCGATTTTGCCATCCCTAACATTTCATTTTGTTTTCCTGCTGCTAAGTGCAGATCTTTTTAAAAAAAAACCATACATATCATACATGCGGAGGCAACTAATGTGTAGCTTTACTCGAAGCGTGGGTGTAGGTGTTAGATTGTCGCAGGCCAAGTAATACAAAAAAAAAAACATTCGCTAAGAATGTTCTTCCCCAAACCCAATGGAATGGCATGGCATGGCAGTAGTAGTGGTAGCAGCAGCTATACTCTAGTAGAGATTTGTTGTTGCCTGCCATATTCTTATGACCGGCTTGTCCATCCATACAAATGACTTCAGATTGTAAAGATTAACGTATGGCCAATGGTTTGTAAACACAACAACAACAACAACATCGAACAACCGGACAACTATTCGACCGTTGAGCCATTAAAAGATGCTAAAAGCTGTTGCTGCTAACATAGCCATGGCAATTTATTGGCAAACGAAGTTTTCGAATGAATCGGAACACCAACAACAACAAAATTGATTTCTTCTTCTTCATCTGCTTTCTGGTTGTCTCTATAACAAATGACATTTTCTTTATAGAAATGTTATGATATACCATCAAAGTAGAATATTTGTTTACCTTCTATCGTGCTTAATGATGCAAGGTGTCGCTAGAGTGTAGAATATGGTAGGAATGTAATTTTTCGAAATGCTTGACACTTAGAAGTTATAATGAGCGAACATATGAAGAGGATAGGTGGGTGGGAAGTTTTGGTATTTAATAGTAATGGCTTCGAAACAGAAAAATCGGTCAATAGATATTCTAATGAGAAGGTAATTTATCATAAATTTGTAAAAACTAGAGGACCTATCTTATTATATTTATAGAAGATCTGAAGGTCTCCTATTCATAGAAGAGCTCGAAGTGATATATTCATAGAAGAGCTGGAGGTTTTCTATTCATAGAAGAGCTGAAGGTCTTCTATTTTTAGAAGAGCTGAAGTTCGTCTATTCATAGAAGAGCTGAAGGTGTACTTTTTATAGAAGAACTGAATGTCTTCTATTCACATAGGAGCTGGAGTTCTTCTATTCTTTTTATAGAAGAGCTGAATGACTTCTATTCACAGAAAAGCTGGAGGTTTTCTATTCATATAAGATCTGAAAGTTTTCTATTCATAGAAGAGGTGGAGGTCTTCTATTTTTGGAAGAGCTGAAGGTCCTCTGTTCATAGAAGAGCTGAAGGTCTACTTTAGAAGTGCTGGAGGTCTTCTATACATAAAAGAGCTGGAGGTCTTCTATTCATAGAAGTGCTGGAGGTCTTCCCTTCATAAAAGAGCTGGAGGTCTTCTATTCATAGAAGAGCTGAAGGTCTTCTATTCATAGAATAGCTGGAGGTCTTCTATTCATAGAAGAGCTGGAGGTCTTCTATTCATAGAAAAGCTGGAGATTTTCTATTTATAGAAGAGCCGGAGGTCTTCTATTCATTATATTTATTTTTTTAATAAGCTTTCTTTGGTACAGAGAAAATGCTCATATCGCAAAACGGGAAGAACCCGAAAAGAGAAATGCAGTTGAATACTTTGGAAATTGAGACCAGGTCATTCAAGATACTAAAAATGGGGCAGGACTTCTATGTGGAAACCAAATATAACCTTTTATGCCTTTCCCCAGTTTTCTAATATTTATTGCCAAATTTTATATAGGCCTTCTTAAGGTCCTTTTCAAGGTGTCTCATATGCAGGGGAAGAACCCGAAAAGAGAAATGAAGTCACGCACTTTGGAAATTGAGACAAGGTCTTCCGAAAACCTTAAAATGGGGCGGGACTTCTATGTGGAAACTATATAGAACCTCTTATGCCTTTCCTTCATTTTCATATATTTGTCGCCAAATTTTTTTCCGGGCCTTCTGAAGGTCCTCTTATAGGTGTCATATATGCACAGAAAGAACCCGAAAAGAGAAATGCAGTCACGCACTTTCGAAATTGAGACCAGGTCTTTCAAAAGCCTTAAAATGGGGCGGGACTTGTATGTGGAAACTATATAGAACCTCCCTTGCTTTTTCTACGCTTTCTAATATATTTTTTCCCAAATTTTATACCGGCCTTCTGAAGGTCCTCTTATAGGTGTCTTATATGCAGACATTTCTCCATAGGCCTTTTATCGACAAAAGGCATTCTTATGTCATCTCTAGATTATTTAATTACAGAGAATTTATATAGACCTCTTATATATAGAATAACGTCTATATCGAACTCAGAACTTTTATCGACCGAATATATTATATATATTTTTTTATATACAGGACATGTTATAGGCAGAAGGCCTTCCAGAGATTTTCTATAGACCAAATAAGTTCTATTAGTAAATTTTCCGTCCTGCATTGCTGGAAGAGGACTTATTATAGGCAGAATACCTTCCAAAGATTTTTCTGTATACGAAATAGATTCTATTAGTTTTTTTAACTTAATTTTTCCCGCTAATTGTTTTTGCACTGTGGATTTCGTCCACAACCCACCCACTGTGCATTTAAATCTCTTATTGCATTTCTAGCCTCTATGTTGTTGTTGTTGCTTCTTTTCTCACTAGAAAATCCTCAATTGCCGGACATTATTTTTTTGAATAGCACAGAAATACGAATCATCGTCAGCATCAGTGGTGACCACAGCATCATTATCATCATATGGCAGAAGCAAATTTTATTAGCGGTACAAAGCTTTGGCAGCATCTAAAGGAAACACACATGCACGCACATAGACACACACACTCGTACACACACACATATGCATGCTTCAGATCTTGTTTTTAGTAAAGCTGTCGTTGGAAAGTGTCAAAAGTGATATCGATACAATATATTGTTTCCTTATTGCCTGATGCATTACTAGGAAGTCTATGTATGTGTGTGTGTGAGAATGGGTATGGATATGTGTGGGTAATTGTGGCTAGCATTGGTCTGGCTGGACACACATAGATTGAGTTTTTTTCTTGATATTTATGAGTTGGTATCTTAAGAAGACAACAACATCAACAGTAATGACAACAACAACAATGACGACGATACCGAGACTAGAAATGTGAGGGACTTAAGTCAGGATAAATGCTGGAAATAAATTTGTAAACGATTGTTTGACAATGTTGTCTCTCGCTCTTGTTGACTTCGCGGAGGCTTAAATGATGCGGTTTTTTTTTCGATCCGGTGGAAAAATAGGTGGTGTTGGAGGAGGAGATTTGTTGCGGAAGATATTGTTGGCATTAAATTTGTTGGGGGTTTTTTAATTTGCCATGGAGCATAGCTTAAGAATCTTTTGTCGAACAATTAATGGTTATAAATTGTAATTTTTGTTCCCCATCGCTCTCTCTTTTCAGTTGCCTGCCATGGCTTAAAGTCAGCTTAACTGCCCAGCAAGAACAACAACAACAACAAATATAAGCAAACGACAACAACACCATCAGCCATCATACACCAGTGTAGCTAGGCAGTAATTTTGTCATTGCATTATGTCACATCAAACAGCCAGACGTTCACAGGCTCCAACCAGCCTTGAATGTCCGCTGGCTTCGTTGGGTCGCAACTCAGCCGCTGTTATGGATACACTAAATGGTCTGCATCAGCCTACATTCCATCATCCCCTAAGTTCAAGTCCTTTGGATCCACAGGTCTATCAAATGTCACGTAAATCACCGAATCTAAGCATTGACACCGATACGGAGCCAATTTATCACAGCAATTCCAATGATCCCGCCGAAGATACCGTAGATGGTTTGGTAGAGCCAACAAACAACAATGGAAACCCCACCAATGCGAATAACAACGCCACACAAACGGGAGCCCCACCACCACCAAATCAATTGTACAATCTTTCAAGATCTTCGTCACAAAGTTCTCTCGACCATCCCATACAACCGATACAACATAAGGCCGCCACCTTTGAGTTGCGTTCCAGTCGTGGCCACACCATAAATGGCAATGTCTCCGCCCTACCCTCATCTGCTTCTGTGGGGCGTACAATACAACAGCAACAACGTGCCAATTTGGGTCTACCTTCCAATGCAGCGGCCGGCCCCACCAATCAACAGCAGCGGAATTTTTTAGCCTTGGAACATTTAATGCAATATGGGCGCCATGAGCGTGGACCCAGTGCCTATGTTTTACACAGTAACAGCGGAGATACAGAAGATTCCAGTGATGCCACTCCGGGTGTGGGCCCCTCCTCAAATACAAATCGTTTGGTACGCCATCAGGCGGTACGTACAAGTGCGGCGCCCAACGTCAATGCAAATGGTACGGGTCGTAATTCGCAATATTATTTGGAAAAGAAAATGGAATCATTGTATTTGGGAAGTGCCATAAGGGGTCTGCCCCTCGGTTCAGAGGCTAGCAATTATCAAAGTGAACGTTATTATCTGGAGGATGGGCTGAGAAGCATGTGCAACTTTAGTGATGACAATGAACGGCTGCAAGGTAAGAAAAGTTTTTCTAATTAAAGAAAATATATATTCACCCTCCCTACCCTATACTTTCAGATCCCCACCTAATACATCATCGAGCCTCCAGCCCCAGCGAAACATCCGGTTCGGATCGTTATCTCTTGAATCGTACCAATTCCCCCGCCAATGCATTCAATTCAGCCAATCGCCTCGATAATGGATTTTCCAGTTCGAACAACAACACCTCATCGTCATCAAATTTGGCTTTGGATCAACGATATCATCATACGAAAGTGAAAAGCCTCTCCGATGGCCTGTGTAATTTAGGTAGATTTTCACCTAGTCTTGATCAAGGTTATGCCACACTGGTATCACCCTCACCGACAGGACATCATCCGAATACCATTACGACACATGGTATTGTTCATCATCCACCACCGGCCGCCATGTCTGCGGCAGCGGCAATAGTAAGACGTCATGTCGAGACGGGTCCACCACCATGGTCGAAAAAGGGTCCACTGCGTTCGGGGCCATATTTTGATCGTTTACCCGATGAGGCCATATTGAAAATATTTCAATGGTTTGATAGCTGTGAGCTGTGCAATCTGGCAAGGGTATGTCGAAGATTTGAACAGTTGGCATGGCGTCCCGTTTTGTGGAAAGTCATTTCCCTAAAGGGGGAACATTTAAATGGCGATAAAGCTTTGAAAATGATGTTTCGCCAGCTATGCGGTCAGACACGAAATGGTTCATGCCCTGAAGTTGAGAGAGTTATGTTGGCCGAAGGTTGCCGCATTTCGGATAAAGGTTTACAGTTGCTAACACGCCGTTGCCCTGAGCTGACTCACCTCCAACTGCAAATGTGTGTGAATGTCTCAAATCAGGCCCTCATCGATGTTCTAACCAAATGTACAAATGTTCAGCATTTAGATGTAACGGGTGAGTTGGAAGGGAGGGGATGTTTAGGAGTTGAGAAAATAAGTTGTTGTTTTTGGTTTTTAGGTTGCACCCAAATCAATACCATCACACCAAATCCAAATCTAGAACCTCCACGAAGATTGCTGCTGCAATATTTGGATTTAACCGACTGCACTGCCATAGATGATGTGGGCCTGAAAATTGTCGTAAAAAATTGCCCCCAATTGGTGTATCTTTATCTAAGACGCTGCATACAAATAACAGGTAAAAATATCTATAGGTTATCTACGACGTAGATACTTTGTATACACCATGAAAATAAAACCAGTAAGGAAAGTAGTAAAGTCGGACTCGAAACTTGGCAGACATCACTCGTGCAAATCGAAATATATATAGGGGCTTTGGTGCACCATTTACATGAAATCGGACGAAACTATATATGGGAGCTATATCTAAATCAGTACCGATTTTCACGAAACTTGGCAGACACCATTCTACGTTCAATTCAGTACGTTATGCCAAATTTCGTGCAAATCGAAAGATATATAGTGACTTTGGGGCACCATTTACATGAAATCGGACGAAACTATATATGGGAGCTATATCTAAATCTGGACCGATCCTGGCAGACATCACGCTAGGCTTAATTCAGTACGTTATGCCAAATTTCGTGGAAATCGAAATATATATAGGGACTATACATATGGGGAGCTATATCTAAATCTGGACCGATTTTCACCAAACTTGGCACACACCATTCTACGTTCAATTCAGTACGTTATGCCAATTTCGTGCAAATCGAAAGATATATAGGGACTTTGGGGCACCATTTACATGAAATCGGACGAAACTATATATGGGAGCTATATCTAAATTTTCTGGCAGACATAACTCTAAGCTCAATTCAGTTTATGCCAAATTTCGAAACTATGGCAGACATCACGCTAGGCTTAATTCAGTACGATATGCCAAATTTCGTGCAAATCGAAGTATATATAGGGACTTTGGGGAACCATTTACATGAAATCGGGCGAAATTATATATGGGAGGTATTGCTAAATCTGAACCGATTTTCACAAAACTTGGCAGACATAATTCTAGGCTCAATTCAGTACGTTTTGCCAAATTTGGTGCAAATCGAAATATATATAGGGTCTTTGGTGCACTATTTACATGAAATCGGACGAAACTATATATGGGAGGTATACCTAATTCTGAACCGATTTTCTCAAAACTTTGGCAGACATAACTCTAAGCTCAATTCAGTACGTTATGCCAAATTTCGTGCAAATCGAAAGATATATAGGGACTTTGGTGCACTATTTACATGAAATCGGACGAAACTATATATGGGAGCTATATCTAAATCTGGACCGATTTTCACGAAACTTAGCAAACATCATTTTAGACCTAAATGATTAGGCTGTACCAAATTTCGTGCCAATCGAAAGATATATAGGGACCGTTAACATTAAATCGGTTAAATGTATATATGGGAGCTATATCTAAATCTGAACCGATTTTTCTCAATTTCAATAGGGTTCGTCCTTGGGCCAAATAAGTGACCTATGCCAAATTTCATCCAATTCGGACCATAAATGCGACCTGTACTTTGTTTACAATTTAACATGGACAGACGGACGGACATGCATAAATCGACTTAAAAAGTGATTCTATGCATATTCTCAAAAGGAACCATGTGTCTATCTCGTTTCCTTTTGCCTGTTACAAACATATACACAAAGACATAATACCCTGTACCACAGTGTGGTGAAGGGTATAAAATATAGATAATTTTTAGGCAAATAACTTATTTACCTTACCTATACAACTAGACCAGATAACTAATTATCTTTTTGTCTTCTCACGCCTCTCCCCTTACAGATGCAGGCCTCAAATTTGTGCCAAGTTTTTGTATTGCCCTCAAAGAGCTAAGCGTCTCGGATTGTGTTAATATCACCGATTTCGGCCTTTACGAACTGGCCAAGCTGGGTGCTGTGCTGCGCTATCTATCGGTGGCGAAATGTGATCGCGTCTCGGATGCTGGCCTCAAGGTTATAGCAAGACGATGCTATAAGCTGCGCTATTTAAATGCTCGTGGCTGTGAGGCGGTAAGTGATGATTCCATCACTGTGCTGGCGAGATCATGTCCTCGTTTGCGGGCCCTTGACATTGGCAAATGTGATGTCAGTGATGCTGGCCTCCGGGCATTGGCAGAAAGTTGTCCGAATTTGAAGAAATTAAGTTTACGCAATTGTGATATGATCACCGATCGTGGGGTCCAATGTATTGCCTACTATTGTCGTGGACTGCAGCAGCTGAACATTCAGGATTGTCAGATTTCGATTGAGGGATATCGGGCGGTGAAGAAATATTGCAAGCGATGTGTCATCGAACATACAAATCCGGGATTTTGTTGATGAGGAGAGGGAGAGAATTGGAATATTTGAATATAGATAAAATAAGAAGAAGATTTTAAGTGACCTTGATAATTGTAAATACATTTTTTTAAAATAATTTCTTTTTTTCTTATTTTCCAAAATTTTCTAACTAGAAAATTAATTCTAATACAGTGGCATATGGATATATGGAAAATTCACCTCGAATAATAAAATATTTTATATAATTAATACACAACAATTTATCTGTTCCAGAATCTGCAAGAATATCCTATTTATCGAAATTGTTTTCAAAAAGTTTTAACCCTTTCGGAGTACGAGAACCGACCAAATATTCGATTCAGATTTTCTTTATGTTAATCCACTGTGCATTATAACCGTGTTTCCGCTGATTTTAGAAACCTATTCCACTGTATTTCTTTTGTCAAAAATTCATTATCAAATTAGCCATAAATTATGAACTGATTTTTCGTTCATTGTAAAATATTTAAAGTGTAAAAAAATTATTACATTTTAATTAATTGAAATTGTCTTCTTTCTAGAAAAGTATTGAAATTTATATATATTCTATTTTTTAATTAATAACAATATTTATGCAAAGAATTTCATAATAGCTTAATAGTATATAAATCCGATTTTGTACGTATATATACATATTAGTAATATTTGTCTGTATATAAAAGAAGAAAACATACCAATTATTTTGTTTTTGTTTTACTAAATTATTATATATTAAAAAATAAAATAATTAATAACTTTTTGTAGTAACTTTTTTAAGTGTAAAACTTGTAAATTTTTTTTCAAAAATTTTAAGGTAAGAAAACTTTCCTCCAACTTTCGTCCAAATGAAAAGATTTCCAGGGTCTTTGGTGCACCGAAGACATATATATGGGAGCTATCTATATCTAAATCTGAACCCATTTTCACGAAACTTAGCACACGTCATTCTAGACGTAATTCAGTACGCTATGACAAATTTCGTGCAAATCGAAAGATATATAGGGACTTTGGAACACCATTTACCTTAAATCGGACGAAACTATATATGAGAGCTATATCTAAATCTGAACCGATTTTCACGAAACTTATTACACGTCATTCTAGACTTAATTCAGTACGCTATGCCAAATTTCGGACAAATCGAGAGATATATAGAGACTTTGGTACACAATTTACCTTAAATCTGACGAAAATATATATGAAAATATATATTCAGTACGCTATGACAAATTTCGTGCAAATCGAAAGATATATAGGGACTTTGGTACACCATTTACCATAAATCGGACGAAGACATATGTATGGGAGCTATATCTAAATCTGAACCGATTTTCACGAAACTTTGCACATATCATTCTAGACTTAATTCAGTACGCTGTGCCAAATTTCATGCAAATCGAAAGGTATATAGCGACTTTGGTGCACCATTTACCTTAAATCGGACGAAAATATATATGGGAGCTATATCTAACTCTGAACCGATTTTCACGAAACTTTGCACATATCATTCTAGACGTAATTTAGTACGCTGTACCAAATTTCGTTCAAATCGAAATATATATATAGGGACTCTGGTAAACCATTTACCTTAAATCGGACGAAAATATATATGGGAGCTATATCAAAATCTGAACCGATTTTCACGAAACTTATTACACATCATTGTAGACTTAATTTAGTACGCTGTACCAAATTTCGTTCAAATCGAAATATATATAGGGACCATTTACCATAAATCGGACGAAGACATATATATGGGAGCTATATCTAAATCTGAACCAATTTTCACGAAACTTTGCACATATCATTCTAGATTTAATTTAGTACGCTGTGCCAAATTTCGTTCAAATCGAAATATATATAGGGACTTTGGTTAACCATTTACCTTAAATCGGACGAAAATATATATGGGAGCTAAATCTAAATCTGAACCGATTTTTCCCAATTTCAGCAGGGTTCGTCCTTGTGCCAAACAAATGAGCTGTGCCAAATTTCATCCAATTCGAATCATAAATGCGACCTGTATTTTGTTTATAATTTAACAATGACAGACAGACGGACGGACGGACATACATAAATCGACTCAGAAAGTGATTCTATACATATTCTCAAAAGGAACCATGGGTCTATCTCGATTATTTTTGCCTGTTACAAACATATGCACAAAAACATAATACCCGTACCACAGTGTGGTGAAGGGTATAAAAATTTGAAAATGTTCTCTGGAGAAGTTTTTTCAACCACCAAAGTCCCGGAATGCCAAATTACACCCAATTCGGTTGGAAAATGAGCATAGGATCATCAAAATGCCTATATACGCGATAAACCTTTATAATGGGGGGCCATACCCAAATATCGACATATATTTATAATTTGTGATAGACAGATATGATATGAACTCGAATTAGTATCAATTCGGTTCGAAAAACGTACCCAAAATCCATAAAATAACTAATAAAGGGGGAGTAAAGTTATATGGAGCCTCCCTCAAAAAATGAGAATTCTCAGTAGGCAGGATTTTTGCAATCCTCTATATATATATATATATTGGTCCCGGTTCTTTTCTTCTGTCTGGTCCACTAGAGTGCATAATATTTTCGAAGGGAGTAACTGATTTCATTTAAATTTTGCACATTGTAATTTTTATTCCAAACTTACATCAAGTTCGAAGAAATGGAATGTCGGCCCAATCATTCTAGTACATCCCACACCAAATTTACCGAGTTTTTTGTGAAAATATTTTAACCATGACTTATAATGTTTAAACATGTGACTTATCGGCCCACTCATTCCAGTATCTCCCTCAATAAGGGTCAACATTTTAAAAACTTGTACATATCAAATGTAGCGAATCGAATATCCACATTCATCGAAACTTTGCACAACGTAACTTACCTAGATTATGTCCGAAGATCGGAGCCGTTGGAAGCCTCCTCCTCATCTGTGTCAACATTTTTTAAATTTGTTATATTCTGAAGGTACTAATTGTCCGTCTAAAATGATTTTTAAGTGCCCTACAAAAGGCCTTTATTTGATAAAAAATGATTTTTAAAATCTCTGCTAAAAATAATCGAGAATGGTTCTGTTTATTTTTGGTTTGTTTAATTTTGCGCCCAAAGTCCTCGTAGTCTTTCACAAATAGAAATATTCAATCTTCAAATTCTAATATTCCCACACACTTTTTTTAAACCATGACTAAGGCTCAGATTGGCCTTCGAACATAATTTTTATAAAAATCCAATCCAATTTACGATTAAGTCAAATTTTGACAGATCGGTTGAAATCATTTTGCTTATTACTCAACCTGCTTATTGGATTATGGTCCAATTTTGCCTTATATTTCTGTAATCCACGCCTAAAGTACATTTTCCTTCAAAAAAAAAAAAAAACCTAGGGTCCTGATTGTCCTTCATATGTATTTCAACCGGTTGCCAAATTTAGTCCCAATCGGACAAACTTTGCGAGTTTTGTGTACCATTATTCACTTCAAACTTCATCCAATTCGAATCATAAAGGGTATCTGCACGTTCTTTACAATTTAACATTGATAGGCGGACTGACGGACATACATAAATCGAGTCAGAAAGTGATTCTATACAAATTCTCAAAATTAATTATGGGTCTATCTCGTTCCCTTTTGCCTTTTACTAACGCATGCACAAAGACATTATACCCTGTACCACTGTGTGGGGGAGGGAATAAAAAGTTCCCGATTACAGCCCTAAAATTTCGTGAAAATTATTATATATTAAAAATCCAAAGTACTGGTATTTCTCTAAAAATAAGTCTTAAAATCTACACCCTTGTGGAATTTATTAATTTGAAAATCAATTTTAAAAATCATGTATTGATTGGCCATAAAAACTGATTCCTGAAATTGAATGTAAATTACGGTCTCTAGCCCTTTAAAATGAATTTTAAAAATCCGCACTACCGAACCTAATTTCCCCAACTGTTATGCTCTCGGGGTCTAGGATCCGAAAATACCCGAGTCTCACTTGACCATCTTCTACCGCCTCCGTCCATTGTGTAAAAGCCATGGGCTTCCATATATTCTAGAGCCAAAAATATCAAAACACTTAAACCGATATTAAAATCAGATTCTGAAACACTTGAGAACTCGATCGTGATTATAGCATACCCAAATCCTAGAAAACAAATTATATTCTCTACTACATATTAAATATGCTTCCTATTAGTGGCTTCTAATAACACTAATTTTCAAACAATTAAGTAAAATTAAATTCATTTCGCATTTCTAACAAAAAAATAAACTAGTTTATTATTTTTTTTTATAAATTTCTTTTCATCATTTGCATTTATATTAGAACACAAGAAGGAACCATATTTACACAAAGTGGAACAAAATTGGAAAATCTGTAACACAGTTCTTTCTGAGCGTTTTCTTTTGTTTTCAATTTTGTATTGCCTTTACAAGGAGGCGATTCAATACAAAAACCGATACATAGATGACTGGGAGTTCAACTTACTTTACTAAATAGTCGTGTCTTCATTTCATTTCTCGTATTTAATATAACAATTAAAAATAAAGATACAAATAAGAATAAAAAAAACACTTTCATTAAAACTAAAGCATATTTTTTAACGTCTGGCTATTGATCTATAAAACAATGTCTCTAAAAACATTTCTTTCAACTCCTCTCGACTCGGCCACGAACAATTGTGGACGACCCCAACTCATCGTTGTTTATCACCAGACCCCGTTGCATCTTCTGCCGTTGATTTTGTTTTTGCTGCCTTTAAAGCCTCCTTCAATTCCTGATCGATACGTTCTTTAGCACGGAAAACTTTCGACTGCAGATAAAATGAACCGCCTTTGGCTTTATCGTTCATGGCAAATAAATGTTCATATTTTTTGGTAATTTCTTCTATACTCTTCAGATCTTCGACATTCAGGATTTGTTTTGCTTCTTCCAGTGTCATGCCTACGAGAAAAAAAAAACGTTTTATGTTAGTTGTTATTGTTTTGTAATTGTCACCAGCCCACTTACCCGTTCTGGCATTGGCCTCTGCCCTCTTCTCACCCTGACGACCACCACCGGCTCGTCGAGCAGCCTCTTGTGATGCGGCAATCTCTTGTTTAAGGGCTTTAGCAAAGGCACGTCCAATCGCCTGTGTACCCAAAACAATAATTTGCGCTAAATACTTGGCCATGTTTTCTTGAGACTACCAGCTAATGGAACTTCACCAGATCTCCTCTGTATAAAAATGTATTCGAAAATTGTTGTTATTTAATAAATTTTATAGAAAAATTTCGAAAATTTAGAATATTTACGGAAGATATTGATATTATTCAATCGTTTCTAACCTTAAACAAATGTCAAATTTGACATAGCAGCTGTAACATATGATGGTTAGTAAAAGTGCTGCCAAGTTGTGCCATATGTTGTATGTTGTGAGTTGTTGCGTGGTGAGTATATTTTTAGCTGTTGGAAGAATTTTAATTGGGAACAGAAATATTTATTTTCAACGGAATTGAAACTAAAAAAAGGCGTGTTCGTTTAATTTCCAAATAAGAAATCATCAGTAGCATCTTTGGGGAGATTAGAAGAAAATCTATTTTAAGGGTTAACAATTAAAAACATATAGCAGAAGTATTAAATTTGGAAGGATACTTTTTTTTAATCCCTCGTTCTTCGAAAAATATATTTCTAAACCACGACTTTAAAATGGGATCTGCTGGATCATAAAAAAATATTTCAAATAATTAACGAGTACAGGTCCTTTTTAAGTGATATTATATAAAATAGGGCGAACCATGGTACAATAATACAAGGTAGGGCAGCTTGAGGTGAATAACAAAAATCAACTATGCACGTGTGGCTTCTTCTGCCAAAAATAAAATAAATATACGGAACAGGTGTTTGTGTTTATTTGACATTTTTTCAACACAAAACTAAAAACGCGAAAAATGAATGAAAGGTTATGATTTCTTCCCAAAATCCAGTAGGGAATTAGTAATTATTTCCAGACGAACGTGTTAAAAACATAATCTTCATTTCAATTAAACTTTTATATATTTCAATTTATTTTGAATTTATTTGACATAGTATTCAAAACAATACACTCACATACACAAAATATGTATTTTGATTTGATGGAACAAGCCACCTTCAAAAAAATTTTAATAAGTTGGTAGCTGCGCCCTACCTTGCAATAATTATACCATGTGGCGAACCCTTTGTATTAAGGATATGTCAAATGTTTTTCAACCTCCAAGAACCTGAAATGCCTTTTTGTTTGGAAAGTGTGTTTTATAGTACGTTACATTTAACCGGATTTGGTTAGCCCAGTGGGTTTCAATTGTCAATTCCTTTGCATATATGTCAAATAAATCCTCATAAAGTAGGTTAACCCGGAAAAAAAGTTCTAATGTTTATGCCGTTTTAAACATTAAAAATACCGAAAATGGGCTGGACCTTTATATCGGGACTATGTGAAAAATGTAGACTTATATTAATTTTTGTAGGAAAGATATACAAGAATCTTGTGGCAAAAATTCAGCTGACAGCTTCAAAATGCCGAAATTATTACTCGGTAGGACATACATAGGTACCATCTGATCAAATCCAAATATATATTTTGTGTGTTGACAGAAGAAGCTACTACATACATAGTTGTATTTTTGTTATTAAACTCAAAATGTCTTTAAAAATATTCATAGAAACATCCACGCATCTTTCTATTTATTTGAAAAAACTACAAGAATCTGCATTGCCACATTGCAGTCACTGGGGTAGGAAAATTCAGCTAACAGTTTGAAAATGCGTCGGTACTTTTATGTGGGAGCTTTATCAAAAACATGAACCATTGTTCTTAATATACAGCGATTTCGGTGGAAAAATGCTTCTAAAGCGATGCGGCAAGTAGATGTAGACAAGCAGAAGCCCAAGAGCATGATGCAATAATAAAGTGATGTATCAAAACAAAAACATTTTTTTTGTCTCGATTATCTGTCAAATTTTTCCTTATAATATTTCAAAAAATTGGCAGCATTGCACATCGAATTCAAGTAAAATTTACCACTTTGACAGTTAATCAAGACATCAGCTGCTCTAAATGGGCTACCTATTCATTGTGCCATGGATGGCATCTATTAGTCTGCTTTTCCACAGGCAGATTTTTATTTGGCAAATTTTTTGTTTTCTCTTTTGAAATTTTCGCTTGCTTTTCCATTAGCAAATTTTTCTTTGCCAAATTTGCGAATCAAAATACAAAAGAAAGAAAATAAAAGTGAAAAGTGATTGCATTTTAGAGATTTTTTTTTTTAAATTGTATTTATTTTTTTATATAAATTGCAAAAATTAAAAATTAAATTTCACTTGCACAAATGAAAGCAACAGGCTTGTAAACAAAAGCCGGCTGTGTGTCAGTAAAGCGAATAGGTTCAAAAGGAAATGTCAACAAAATTGTTTTCAACGAACAGAGCAAAGCAGAATTTGCGTGTACGGCAAATTCTGAACAGGCAAATTTTTGTTTTTCTTCCTCGCACCCCTCTCGTCTACAAACTCAGTATTTGCCAAATAAAAATTTGGCTGTGGAAAAGCAGACTAATATATATTTTTACCCTCCAACATCCCGAAATGCCAAATTACAGCGATTTAGGTGGAAAAATGCCTCTAAAGTCTTCAAATTAGCGATGCGGCACTGTTATATGGGAGCAATACAAAACGTAGACCAATATAGTATATTGGCTACCTTGATAGAGGGCAAGCAGAGGCCCAATAGACTAGTCTTCGGTTTTTATTTAGTTTAAACGGCATGTACATTAGAACTTTTTACAGTATATGCAAATGAATTGACAATTGAAACCCACTGGGTTAACGACACCCGGGACAATGTAAACGTACTATTAGGTTTGATAATTCAGCCATGACAATTTTGTGTCAAAGCTGTAAATGATGATGGGATTTATTATTTAAAATTTAACTTGAGAAATAACAGCTATTTCTCGCTCTCTGATACAACATGTTTAATAAAATAATCAATTTTGCCGCAAAACATACGTCCTACAGCAAGTTGCAACCTTATTTCTCCATTATATCAAACAATTGATTATCACATGTGAACACACCTTAATGTTTACATTCTCTGTTTGACATTGGTATTTGTGTTTTTGTCTGAAGTCAATCGACGACAATTTTCAAGTAAAGTGAACCAAATTCTTTATTTCAATTACAGTTTTTGTTGTTAAATTTATCCAAATAATTACTAATTACCATTTCCAATAATTAAAACTTGTCTGTGGAAAATTTTGTGACGAAAATTTAAGTGTATAAACGAAGTCTTTGATTACTACGAGTAAAAACAAAAGCATTATAGTGCAACCCACATCACCACCCCCAACCTGTTTACTTGTTCCTTCCAATTGGACTAGTTTATTCTTCGTGTTGTTCTTTTTCGTAGAAGCGGTTTATGTAAATAATCCTTGGGAAATGTAATACTAGGACGTGCAAATTTAAAATATGGTAAAAATCTTTTTCTAAAAAAAAAAATATTTTATATTTCTTCTGCAAGCTTGGTTTGATAATCTGGTAATAACTTAAGGAAACATGAATCATTCGTAATTGCCGAATTCTGAATTGTTATCAAAATCTCCGGGAAGAAAATTGCAATGCATATTTCAATTTTATTTCGCATTTTGATATGCCACAATTTTTTTCTGTATTTAAAGGCATTTCTCGCAGTTGGTAACGTCCAACGATTATGTGGTACATGCGCAATAGCTATCCCGTGATAATGAGAGAATGGATGTGTTGTTCTTCCAATCGAAGAGGCAAAAGCTGTTCTTGGAGGTTTTGTAAAAAAAAAACTACCATGATTTTCTTGTTTCAACAAACCGAGGTGTCCAATGTTTTCAATGCCTCGAAAATTTTAATTTGTCCAGTTTTCTAAGTTAATTATACCGCCAAAATGGGCACTCAAATTTGTACAAAATTTTAATTAAAGAAATTGCTTTTAGAATAGCTAAGGCTATAGTCATTCGTAATGCTAAAATATAGTCATTTCCGTAGGAAAATGGGCCAATGACCACAAAAATACCTTCAATGGCGCCGAAGGGTTATACCTAAAGATATTCAGAGATTGATATTTTTGATAGGAAGAATTGCCACACAATGTGAAATCAAAGATAAAACCAACTCGGTGGAAAAACATGATATAATTACATTGAGACTATATTCGATCATGAACCGATATTGGAGAGAAATGCCACCAAATTTGATCCAGTACTATATAATTACTGTCAAATAACTGAAAAAAACGTAAGAAACCTCTTAATAATGTCCGTGAAAATAAATTTAAATTTATTTCACAATATTTATTTTTACGTTTTCCAACACTGTATTTTCCAACGAGTTAAATTTAAATTTGAATGCAAGGGATAAGAGGGTTTGTCCCCACTGTGGGAAAACGGCGGGGACTTGAATATTGTGGTATGCCTTTCCTAAAAGGGCATTGAAAATGCTTCTAGGCGAAATTTCCCGAAGCTCTGTGGCTTTTCTTTGACCCGCAGTGGCCTGATTTAAATTCCATATAAGGGGAAAATAGGTTAGGTCCCACTGTGGGAAAACGGCGGGGACTAGAATATTGTGATATGCATTTCCGAAAAGGGCATCGAAAATGCTTCTAGGCCAAATTTTTCCCGAAGCTCTGTGGCTTTTCTTTGACCTTATATTCGCAAATCGAATTTGAAAGTAAGGAAGAAAATGTGTAAAGATAAAATCGTATTTAAGTTATTCTCGTTTGACTTCCTTCAAACAAATTTAGATTTAATTCGAAAATTTACAATTTACAATCCTTCTGGTCCTTAACCTCAAAGAATTTCTTATCAAAATACTTTCGCAATATTTATCATAAATATTTGGTATAGGATATTGCGTCTTTGTTCTTTTTTATTGGCCATATAAATATTGAATGATAGTTCTCCACTATTTTGAAATCGGTCTCTACATCAGTATCACTTCAATAACTATAAAGTAAAAACCCCTTTCCGTGATAACCGAATCTACGACCTAAGTTGTACTCGACCAAAACCCCTGTGTCTATCCTGAAAACAATCTTCCTTTGCATGTATGTTAGTAAAGTTGATGCCAAAATATCAATTTCTAATAGCCCAGTATAATAATTAACTTTATTAATGTATATTAAAATTGTCATTCTTTTAGCAACACCTCGAAATATACACTGGAGACCCCATAAAATATATAATATTGATAAAAACCAACAACAACAATTCTACGTTTCCACGACAGAGGGGTCTACGATCCGAAACGACCCGAGTCTTACTCGGCCAACGTCTGTCACCTCAGCCCATTGTGTAAAAGCAATAGGGCTACAACAACAACAACAATTCTATGTCTATTTAGCTATGTTAGCCTATCCTGACGAATTATAATAGAACTTTTGACAATTTGCACATTCATTACTACTCCTAGGATGTCTGGCATTAAAAAAATATATCGATCCACCTGATCAACGTTTTAGCGTAGCCACCATAAACGATATCTCTCAAATTTCGGTATTTTGGAAAGTTTGAGTAAGTTTTTCAAGCAAAATGGCTGTAAGTTTATATTTCAGATTCTCATTGGTTAGCAAATCTCCCTCCCAAATGTTTTTATTATTGGCTAAAGTTTTGGATTAGCTCCCAATTATTCAACCAAAGTGACACTAAGAGGCTGTAATTTGAAATTTCAGACATGTGTTTTAAACAGAATGGTCAAGGACCTGTTTTTCGTGTCCTCCTGGCAGCAACTTTCCATAGCATAGCCCCATGTAATAGTCCCGTTTGATTTTAGGCATTTTGTAATTCAAATAATTTAAAACTAAAAATGCAATTTTGTTCGCGACTTTTTTGTAGTTTTCTCCATTTAGACGCAGCAAGACAAGATTACATCCTTGAATACAACCATGAATAATCATCTAAATATAAATACCGAATTGATATCCAAAAACGATAATAATTGCTGCAAAACGAAATCCAAACTGCCGGTTGTCAAGGTTACAACGTTTAAGATGGACGTGTTCAGTGGCCGTTTACATAGATTCGAATGTGAACCTGCTGATAGCTTGGCGCATATCACAAGCTTCTTCCTATGCTTTTCTAATTCAATATTATACTTTTCTTATTTTATCGGAACATAATGTTATAACTGACATGTCCTGAATTGGAGTGCCGCAAATGTTGATTACAAGTACAAAAGGGAAACAAACCCCCATATGTTTACTTTATCGTGGACGATAATTTTACATGTCATAAAACAATAAAACTCCGTTGGACGACAATGCATGGACTCCAGCTTTACCAAAAGGAATATTTTCGAACAAATAACAGCCATGTTGTGGCGAACTATGCCATTTGTAAGGCTACTAAGTAGGTAAACAACTGTGTTCAAAAAATTATAAAGAAGCTTACGATTTTGAAAAAAAAATTCTCTTGAAATGAAATTGAATTTTCCAGAAAAATTCAGCCAAGCTGATTGAACTTTAGAAACCTCTTCAAACAAAAGGGGGCAATATGTTCATTGAAAATTAACAAGGAAATTGAATTCAACTTGGTAAAAAATCTATTTGTAAAAAATTCAAAAGGGTTGCCATTAAGCAGAAATGTACTCAGAAATGTGGAAAAAAAATATGAAGGCCCTTTTATGGAAAGTCTTCTTATAAAATATAAATAAGCTAACAAAGAAGTCCCCTATATGAGTCCACTATATGTCTCATTATTATATATGAGGGAAAACTCTTCAAAGGACTAGGAGGTATATAAAAAAGTAAGGAGGTCTTCAGAATTACACACAGGTATTATTATTCACTTCATATAAGTTATATGTTTTTTTTCAAAGATGTTTCGGATTTAATGTCATTGTCGTTTATTCTATTCGATTCAAATTAAATTAAAATTCGGACTAGATCTTGGCTTGGTAAAGACAATGTTTGCTTCAATTCGCCTGATATTGGATATATAAATATGGAAAATTTTGACCCTTTGTGTGGGAGTTGCGCTTATGGCTAATGTATCTTTCATTAGCCAAAAGCTGAGGCTATAAAAATAGGTATTTAATACTAACAAAGTCTACTTACATATGTCGAGATTGTATAAAAAACAAGGCTAACGAGAGACGATGAAAAACAATTCATGATCATCAATATGGTCTTCTTCTAAAATAGCGATGATTTCTTATTACAAGATGGCAAAAATTTCTTCCAGTTAATTAAAATGAGATTCTTATGACTTAAGGGGACCCCACCCATTCTCGGTTTCAAAAAAATTAATTTTTTATTTCAATTTAGTGTGAACCTACACTAACTCAAGAATGTCCCTATAAATTTTCAAGAGAAAATCTCAACAATTTTTGAAGATATAGCCGATTTATTGTTTTAGCATTCGGTGGCAGCAAGAGGGCTTCTCAAATTTTAAAAGCGTTTTTCTCCAAACAGCGTTTTTGTGAATGGCGGGCACGATAACTCAAAAACTAATAACCCAATTGATTTCAAATTTTGGGACGTTTTTCTGTGAGTGTATAGCTATTGTATGAACTAGGATAAAGCCAATCGGTGAAGATCTTCCTTATTTTTTAACTTGGTTTTTGGTCAAAAATTGACAATTTTCCAAAAATATTTTTTCAAAGGTCCGCCGTTTTGTTAATTTTAGAGCGAAGTCAATAATCCTACTTCATACGAGAGCCAGACATATACTCTTTCTAACGCAGTTGGAATTTTCGGATTCCGATGTCCCTTAAAGAATAGTAGCCCAAATCATCTTGCTATTAGGGATTGTTTGATGGTTGGTCGAAAGATTTTCTTGTAGAGGCAAATACGTCTTCTAGAATACAAAAAGTCTCTAAGCTACCAAAGACTTTATGTAGGATTTTGCTAATGAAAATGTTCGTCTCATGCATTAAAAGAATTCTTCCTCAGCTCCTGAAAATTGTTCATAGGGAACAACAATTTGTCATCATTCCTCGAAAAATGGTTCTGGAGTACAGAAAACAAAAAGGTTCCACACAAAGAAGTGCATCAAAAAAAGCAAACAATTTTATAGAATAGCAAAGGGTTTTCTTCGAGAAGGTCAAAGAGAGATGTGTTTTCCTATAGGTGACCAAATGAACCTCTTATAGATGCTCAATGGGATTTCATTTAGAATACAAAACGGTCTCCAAAAGGGTATTCTTTGCATTGAAGGAACTTTTGTGCAATTTTAATGGTTTCATTTCCGCATACATTGAGATTTCCTCCAAGATTTGAACATATTCGATTCCCCACAGACTTATTACACTGAACACCTAGCATTGATTTTACGATTGTACACCTCAGATTTCTTGACACAATCAATAGTCGTAACACTAGATGACACATTCCAGTTAAGGGAGAAAAGGGGGGATGAGATTTTTTCCTTTAACATTTTTCTTTTGGTTTATTATTTCAGATACTATTGATGATAAAAGCTGATGTTGTTCTTGTTGGGGGTGGTGGTTGGTTGGTTGGTGAAATAGATGGGGGATGGGCCAAACAAAAAAACTTTTGGTGGTAGCTTCAGCGTCGTTGTCGTAGTGATAGTATAGTAAAAGTATTCAATTCGTTACGGACGCTCGTTTCTCAGGCACTGGTACTCGTCGTCGTCGTCGTCATCGTCGTTTCCCTTCGTTCGTTAGACAATTTGTTAAGCTATTTGAAAAGAGATATACCAACGACTACAAACAGTTCTCCGAGGACATTCAGAGCAGGAAGACATACACTCTATATAGTAACAAAAAGAAATATTAAAAAAAAGAATATATAGCAAAAAATCACATTGAATTCAATTCAAACAAAGAAAAAAATTCTTAAGAAACAAATTTGAAGAAAACAATTCTAAAGAATTTCCAAAAAAAAAGTGAAAATAATTGCGTGAAACAAAGAAAAAGTAAAATTTTCAACAAAAAGAAATTCACAAAGGAAAACAATTTAAAGAAAAACTTTTACGGTTGACCGTGTGAAAGCGAAAAAAAAACGTTTGAAAGAAAAATATTGATTTTTTTCGGATTTGATTTTTAACAGATTTTTTTTTTCATTTTAGATTTTGAGAGAACTTTTTTGTGTTGGGGGTAGCTATTTGTGTAAAATATTTTCTTGATTTTTATTTTAGTTCTTTTTTTTAAGTTATTGGATAAAATATTGAAAATCGCAATTTTGTAACGTAACAACCCCTTTTTTTGTTGTAAGAACCAGCAAAAAAATGTGGTATCCATACTAATCGTGAGATTTCATACATAGTTTTTTTTTGGTTCGTCTCCAGTTTTTAATGCACACTTGTCGTTTACCGTTATATTTGTCATTTACCCTTCGGATTTGTCCGTTGAAAAGAAGTTCACGACAATTCGGATTTGCTCATTTTCAGGATTTCTCTCCAATTATCTATCTCTCTCTGGACGATTTTTATGGGGGTCAATACTTAGCAGCCCCTTTTCTCGGCGGTGATGAAAAGTTGTCTCTCTCTCTCTCTCACCATTTCTGCTCTCTCCCATTCACGTTTTTTTCTACCTCTCATGTGGGATTTAATTCCATAATTATTGTTTGCATACATTAAACATAACCTTAAAAAAATAATTCCACAAATGAAAAAAAAATAATTTTTAACAACAACAAAAACTGTGTAAAATTATAGAATTTTTTTGTTTTTGTTTATGTAATAAAAAAAGTGTGTTAATGTGCTAAATGTGTCATCTACAGAATTTGTCAAAATCGCAATAACCAAAAAAACCAAAACGAAAAAATTGTAAAAGACCAAAGGAGAAGAACGCCTAACTAAAAGCAAAACCCACAGCAAAAACAAGAAGCAGAAAAACCTCGAAGCCAACAAAAACCTGCAAAAATGTTTTCCAATATCACAAATCAATTCACATCGTTGGTGGGTGCCGTCAAAGGTGGCAACGAAGAAGACGTTCCCGCCTCTGAGGGAGCACCCGCCGCAGCTGCTGCTGCACCAGCTGCCCAACAACAGGATCCAGCAGCAGCAACAGCTGAAGGTGCCGAAGGCGAAGAAGGCAAAAGGTAAGTGTGCTGGTATTACACATTTTTTGATTTCAACATTTTCAGCTCCAAAGTGGTTCCTCTCATTCTCTGGGTATGTAGGTATATTTTTTCTTCTGAGCAAGGAACTAGGAGTGTATTTGTTTTAGCACACGTGATAAATTGTTTTGTTGTTGTAGCGTTTTTTCCAAGTCATTCTTAACTCCAGATTCCAAAAGCGGGGATGATTATTATTTTGTCAATAACATTCCAATGGTAAAAGAAAATTAACTCTCAGGACTCTCAATGAGAGAGAAAATTCTCTCTCGCTCTTTTTATTGAAATGAGAGGTATGTTTTTATATCTCTCTCTCTCAAAAACCAATGACCAACTTATCAACAAGAGAGAGTTTTGTTAAAAAAACGAACTGAAACAGAAAGCTCTCTTCTTCTGCTTCAAGGATACTATGTGTGTACATCTAACCTAGAAATTTTTTTCGTATGTGTGTGATGATTCTGTGTTATTTTTTTTTCTTTCATCGTTCATTTCATTCGTTTTTATAATCTACACGTGATTTGTAAAGACAATTTTTCGTTTCGTTTTATTTTTTTGTTCTGCAATGCTTTTTAGAACAAACACCAACAAGGGGGTGGGGGATGATGATGATGATGAACAAGAAGAAGCATAACAATTGGTTTTGCTGATTAGAATTTTCGATATGCTGAAATTATTTTGGAGAAACATTTGGATTTTTAAAACATACTAGGATGGAAAAACATTTTGAATGGAAAAAGTGGGAATCCACATTTCGTATTCGATATAGATTTTTTTTCGGAGATAGGAATTAGGAAAAGTGATTAAAAAAAACAACAAATCATAACTGCATCCGCTCAATTTGGGTCGTCGTGGTTGCATGTTATGTCATATTATGACCACTTAAGCTTAATTGTATCTTAAGTATGTCTGGTTTCCTTGTTTCCATGAGACAATTAGGTTAGTTTTTTGTAAGGATACTAGTATATCGTATACCTTGAATGAGTATCTACTGTGATTATGAATTTTGATTTTTTTCAAAGGGATATAGTTACTTATTGTTTTGAAATGTGAATAAGTAACTTTATCCCTTTGAAAATAACATAAAAAATAATCTAAACTCTCAAAATCCATTGGTTTGAATGTAGATCTATCCAAATATAATAATTATTGTTCGTTCTTCTTCTTGATTTATTTTCACATCATTAAGAATATGCAAGTGAATAACATATGTAACATTTTTTAAATAGATTCTTTACAGATTGTGAACATAAAATGTGGAACTATTAAATAGTTTTATAGACCAATTGACTCAATATCAAACTCAGTATCCCCAAAAAAACCCCTTAGATTTGTTTATTGTAATTGAAAAACAAATTGGGGCATACTAAGTGGACGACCATATTTTTTAGGGATAGGTAAATCGGCTTTTGACTAATCGATTAATTGACTTTTTGTATAAAAAAGTCTAAAAGTCCATGTCGACTTTGGATCTTTAAGATAATCGATAAGTCGACTTTTTAAGATCGACTTTCGATTTTCTTCATAAACACTTGTTTCATTATCAGAAAAACCAAGATTTTTAGTCGATTTTGAATTAGTCGTTAAAAGTCGAAAATATATTTTGGACTGGTTTGACAAAATCGAAAGATCAAAAAATCAACTTTTCGGCCAAGGGCAAAAAAAAAAAAAAAATCCCTAATATATATTTTTGGGCCTAATAATCATGTTAGAATAATTATCATCAAAAATGGTGTTCTAACCAATTGGGGTTTGAATCACGGCACTCTTTGGGAACGATAGGCCTTTTTTCGGCCTAAACGGTCTACAGTTCTCTTATTTCATCCTGTCATAAGCCTTCTGTATCGATTTTTAAAGCATTGTGATATATATATTTTTTCAAAATTATGCAATCAATTGTAAATACGAATTGTCTCTATAGTATGTTTTCAGCCAAGGGCAAAAATTGAAAAGCATAAAAATCGATTTTTTTTGTCAGAGGCAAAAATCGAAAATTACAAGAGTCGATTTTTACGCTTGACTACGTATCCCTAATATATATTTTTTTGGGCCTAATAATGAAGTTAGAATAATTATCATCAAAAATGGTGTTCTAACCAATTGGGGTTTGAATCACGGCACTCTTTGGGCACGATATTTTCAAGATAGGATTTTTTCGACCTAGACTGGGGAACAGTTGTTTTATTTCAGCTTGTCATAAGTCTCCTATATCGATTTTTAAAGCATTGTGATATATCGACGTTGTTTTATTTCAGCCTGTATGGAAGTTTCATATATCTTACGTCTGCTAAGTACATTTTTGCTATAACTTTGGTTTGGATTGATTTACAAAAATTTAATGCATTGTGATATATATATATATATATATATTTTTTTTTTTTTCAAACTTATGCAATCAATTGTGAATACGAATCGATTCAACAGAGTTTTTATTCTTAATCTCTACATATTAATCTCAATATTGTCATCCAATATTTTCCTGTGGCGATATATGGAAATGATTTTTGCCACCTCATTGAAATGGTTTGATGTCCTTAAAATGTTATATAATATTCAGTCCAATATGTTAGTGCAGTTAAAATCTTGTTCCGAGTTGCGGTCGATCTTCTCCCTGCCCTGCAACAGTCCTGAATTATATGTTCGGATGTGGGAAAATTAATTGATGTATGGCAAGTCCAAATTCAAACCCGTCCTATGCATTTTTTGTCCTACCCATGGCGGCATGTCACATTGCATATTTCAGGAATAATGTGACTGGCGGACGATAAAAGTAGTTTTATACAATTTATTAAATGTGGTACTAGCCCGGTCGGAAGGATTTTCTAGGTGAAGATCTCGATTTATTGTATTATTAAGCTCTCTCTTTATGGTCATTCCATTGTGGAGAGCCTGCAGTTACAAGCTCAAATGGTAGTAGCTTCGGCTACGAAAACGTGCAGAGTTTAGTCTGTGGGTGACCACTCCCGGACTAGCAGGCTTGTGGAATAATTGTTGGGAGGGGTGAGATGCATGGTGGCTACAAATATCGTGAGATATTGGTGGTCACTTTTGTTTTGTATCCTCTTTCAGCGAGAGAGTCTGCATGTTAGTCCTAATGGTAGTAGCTTTGGCTATGAAGCTGGGCAGAGGCTATAGTCTGTGAGTGACCAGTCTCGAACTGTTTGGGGTTCTACTGGTAATAGCTTTGGCTATGAACCTGACCGAAGGTTTCGGTAGCACGGGTGTCAGGGCCCCTAGGTCTGCGGATCTAGCCTGGCAGTTGGTGTTGGCCCTTCGGGGAGCATCGTGCTGGTTGTGGTTTAAACCCAAATCGCGGGGAGAGCTTTGGCTCGGTGTGGAGTTGCATTACAACCGGGTGCCTGACCCATAGAAAGGCAGGAGTTTTAGATGGGCTCCGCTCCTCATCCAAGGAGGTGATCGCGTCCAAATACGTGTGATCGATTGGTACCTGCATTTCGGTGTGGGGGCGTTGGTTGACGCTTTGTATTAACTGGTGTTTACAGCACCGTGGGGTAAGACCGCAAGGTAGGTACCCACGTACTCTAAGCATCTCTGTATTATTAAGCTAATTTAGACCCTCCAAGTCACCGGCATTTCCTCCATAAGCAAAAAACCAGTGAGCGGAGCAATACAGTCGGACGGGGCCGACCATATGATACCCTACACAACTACCACGGAACTAAAAATTTCTGATGTTCGGCTTTCAATTGTGGTCTATAGATCGACTCGAAAATAACACAAAAAAATAAGTTTTCGGTCCACTTCATTCCAAAATTATTATCTGATCATCACCGAAAATTATAGGCGTTGTCCTTGACCATAACTGGAACCTCATGGAACATTTCAAAGCGATCAGCGCTATAGTTCCGCTCTCTAGAGTGATAATGGGTTACTAAATAATATACGAATACGGAGATACCTATAAATATGTAGGTGTAACTCCCACATCCGAGCACATACAACAATATAATTGGTATTAATTTAAAGGTCAACCACTCCTCTTGGATATAATATCAATTTCTCGGGTCTATGACCTTCAGGGTTAAATAAATTTCTCACACAAAAGTCAAGGTCCATTTAACCCCCTAAATATTGACCGATCTTTATGAAAACAGGTATGCTTATTCTTTGGCCCGATCCCCTTCTCCATGGAAAATTTCACGATGTTCGGGCCATTATTGCGGCCTCTGCAGCGGTCAGAAAAACCGACAAAAATTTAGTATTTGGTCCATTTCATCCCCTAAATATTAACCGATCTTTGAAACAATATCCAAAACCAATAGGCGTCTTCATTGGCCAGAACCCATCCTACATGCAAAATTTCGTGAAGATTGGGGCCTGTATCGTGTTTACAAATTATAATGGACAGACGGACGGACGGACGAACACACATGTCTAGATCGACTCAGCTAGTCGAGATATGACGATCGGTATACTTAAAGGTGGGCCTAGGACCAATATTTCGCGGCGTTACAAACTTTTGGGTATAATTAAACCCTATTTATAATTTCTTATACGATTAGAATTTAATTGCCTCGGGTTTTATTCAGACATATGGGAAAATCTATTCTAGTAGGAAAAAGGAAACGAGGTAGATCCATGGTTCCATTTGAGAATATGCATAGAATCACAAAGTACAGGTCGCATTTATGATCCGAATGAGATGCAATTTGGTACAGTTTACTTATTTGGTCCAATAACGAATTCTATTGAATTTGAAAATCTGTTCAGATACAGTTCTCACATATAGATTTCTCCGATTCCACAATAGTTCACCCAAGTCAAAATATCGTCCGATTTTAAGTTAATGGTTTACTAAACTGCTTAGATTTATCCGATTGAGACAAAATTTTGCACAACGTACTGTATTAAGTACAGTTTGACGTATGCGAAGTTTTGTTGGAATCGGTTCAGATTTAGATACAGCTCCCAAAAATATTTTTTCCTCCTATTGAATGTAAATGGCACATCAAACTTTCAAAGTTTGT